GAATATGATTTATTACACGTGAAGTTATAAGTAGCAACATGCCATAATTATGGCATTCATTCAATAAACCAATAATAATTATTGCTTGACGTACCCATATAGACGATTTCAAGTAAATTAGTCGGTATCGTCCTTAAAACTAGAGTGCCTGTGTACTATATTGTGAAGATTAAATTCAATTACTCCGCAGTGATTAAATAGGAAGTGGAAATTTCGGTGGGGCCTACGTACAATAAACGCAAAACGCGATCTTGGAGTAAGTGAAACAGTAATGTGAGTTATGACCGAGCCCGTGCATCCTTAATTGATATTTGTGGCCTTATGGCCGCAATTGGAATCTTGCAGATAACCACATTTAATTAATGTTCGTGGAGTATGCACTCCATGTGAATAGCGGCATTAGAATGCAGGCTGCCACAGTCTTTCTGGAATTACTGACGTGAAAGTTCTTTGTTATTTTGTCATTGTTTAAAGTTTAAATCGCATTTATAAGCCTTATTATTTCGGCTTTGAGAGATGTTGCTTTGTTTTTGCGCATATACGTTTTCATTTGCAACCGGCAGATAACTAATATCACTTCATGCCGGGGCCTTGGAGTGTACGCGCCTGAAATAAATGCCTTTTTGTCTTCGGGGCACAAAGGATATTGATATCTAGTAATAATAATGGGGTCCCCTCTAAATCGTTACCAAACACTTCTGGTCTGCAAGGCCGGCCGAAATAGAACCGGGTTGGTTTCAAAGTTGTTTTGAACATTTATACGAGTTAAATCCGAAGCTATTTGCTAATTATATTCCCAAAATTTCAAAACACTAAAAATTAGACTAGAAATGTCATGTCATTGTCTTTCTGGATATGTTTTTTGTAGTAAAGTTTACACTTCAATGAAGCAATTTGCAAACGAGTAAAGATCGATGATGAATATTTGCTCCATTACTGTATCGTGTATACAAGGTGTTCCACGAGGAAGTGTACAAAGTTTAAATGGACATCTTTTAAAGTAAAAAATTATCAAACAAGTTTATATTAACCTTGTCTTGAGACACACCGATTTCGAGGTAGGGGAAACATTTTTTTCACGTATTTCAAGAACGCATAATACTAGTTTCACAAATTTTTATAGGATTTCACGTTTAGAACTTATAAACGTATCTTAGTAATCCTATATTTCAGTTGCCAGTGCCGTAGATAAGAGGAGGTCAGCGCTATTTCGTGTATCGTAACCCCTACGTCAATGACTATTTATCCATAATTAGTTGAAACGGCAATTCTCTGAAAAATTATTAGACCCTAAAAAATAAGCCTTGTATCGTTATTAAGTAAAAATTCAATTCAAATTCAAATCTAGTGCAAATATAGTAATTTTTTGGAATATCGTCTTGAAGATGCCGAGCAAAGGGGACAGAACGGCCTCTTCGAGGAGAGACACGGCAGACAGAGCCGCAGAATTAATCGTCTATAGGGCGCGAACAAGTAATAAGTTCCCCAGGCACATCTGTTAGATGTAAATAGATACAAATGCATTAAGTTGGTACAGCAGTTGCTGTTTGTTGTTGGAAGCCACGGAGAGCCATTAGTGTTGTACGCTGCTAACTATCCCACCAAGCAGATTACAGTTAATCGCGATATTTAACTTTAGGTGTGGCCGCAAATACTTAGCGACGCCGTTTGGCCCTTTATACAGTTCGATCTCTGGACCAATTCTGTCCGATAAACACTACTTGCCGATTGTTGTGCTAACCGCCGTTCGGATCTAATTTAAATGTGTAATCAATCCATCAAACTTGGTAATTCGGGCCGTGTGGGAAATATGAAATGCGGCAATGGCGCTAATAGGTATTAAGTTTCTTACAACTCCAAATCAATATTATCATTTTCAAAGGCAAAAATGTGTTGTTGATACTTCGATAAAGGTGTGCATCCTGTTGGGATGGTTGTAGCGTCTGGGCAGTTGTTTTGCGATTCCTTTATCGTTGTATCGTTTTGTAGCTACAAAATGATTCTTAATTTTTCGGAAAAATTGACATAACCACTCCATATTGTCTTCTTCAGATCATTACAATACCAAGTTCTTACTTAACTTTACATTTAAAAGAATATTGTGCTTTTAATACAGTGAAACCACCTTGTGAAACTTTTTTTTTCATATGCTGAAAACGAATTCTGTTAAGCATTCAAGAAATTATTGTTAGGAACATTTGTAAAGAAAGAAAAAGAAGAAGAGATACACATTCTGTGTATTTCAATGAGATGCGAGGAAAATGCTAAACAAATACAAACCTATTCTATTTTATTATACAAAGTGGAGATGAAAACATAACAAACTAAACTCTTACACATTGTCTTGGAAAGTTTTTCTCGCGCCAGGTCGTAGCTGGAAACCCTCTTCTGCACAATCAATCGTAATATACGGGATTTGTTCTTCCGAACGCTATAGACATTTGATTTTGACCTGCGAAGGCGGAAAGTCGTCAAATATGAAATCGAATATTGAGTCAGGCTAAAGTAATCATAATATTTGCCCGTTGTGTGAACATCGTCGCGAGTGGAGACTCCCCCGGAACAGTAAACCGGGCTACGAAACTTTTCCGGAGAAAATCACGGCTACGCTCTTTCGAGTAGGTGTGTTTCGGGGCTCTCGAGTAAAGCGGCTGCAAATTAATTACGAATTTGAAGATTTTTCGTTCAAGGAAAGATAACATTTAAAACAAAATTAAGTAGAATTTATTTTTCTTCTAAACAACTTCCCCGGGACTTGGTGTTCCCAAGTTTCGCGGCAAAGTTTAAATAACTAGCTTAGTTAGGATGATCATTTATTCATATTTTGAAAAATTAGGTTGCAAGTTTGTTGTGATCTATACACGGTGGTCAGTTTTAAGGAGTATGCGTTACCTATATTGGACGAAGTATCAAATTATAAAGAGTAATCTCATTTTATTGAGGATAAAAAAGAAACAGAATTTCATGATTTATTTAACTGAATAATAGTTGTGTAAATCACATTAACTTTTTGAATGAAAATGGATGAAAATATTTTTAAGATATTTTTTTTTCTATCTGATTTATATTCTAATGGCGTATGTTTATATCCTAATGTACTTTTATGTAGATATATGAAAATCATAAATTATTTTAAGATATTTGCAAATTTTAAAAGTTCCTTTAACCTCCAAGTAGCTTTTGCATTGTTCGAAATTTAGTTCGGTAAAAGAATCAAAACTTAACTAGATACGAGTAGGGTTTCCCGAGGTCTTTTGTTAACAAAAGAAACCAGATTTATATGTGACAGCAGGTCTCGCCTTATAGATGTCTCGAAATCCCAAGTGATTCACCTAAAGCACACAAAAAAACAAAGTGCTCTGCAAAAGAAATCACTAAATAAATTACTTCGCAAGAACTAACCAAAACAAATTAACGATTTTCGAAATCTTGGAATTTGGAATTATACCTATATGTATAAATTAAGTAGTGTTTCAGAATATATTAATTATTCTGTTTCTATTTAAATGTACATGCTTATGTTCCGTAAATAATTGCATTCCTTTATAGTAACATAAAAACTTGAAATATTGAAATATTTTATGCGGCCTTTAATCTCGAAAGAATTGAACTTCGACAGCCTCAAGCTCTATATTGCTTTCTGCTGCGGTTGTTGCCTTTACTTTCCTGTAAAGGTACGGGATCTGATAATTTATGCCCGCAAGATGAAATGCAAATACAATCTCCTCATATTTAACCGCTGAAATTTCATTAATATAAATCTTGGACGGCGCCGAATTCAATTTCGACATAAATTAATTTCTATTCATGGAAGGATAATGAAATGTTTTTCATGGATTAAACTATTAGCATCTATTTGTTGTGAAATAGGAGATTTGTATCTATTTACATACATGTACCCCTAATTTTATCAGGGTGATGAATTCGATTGGTTACTTCTAATTCCATTGAGACGACACAAAGTGAAATATCTTGTTTAACTTAATTCATTACTTACAATCGTACATTTCTACTATTAGTTGTATATTAATAGATGGTATTTACATATTATTACTCTTTTTATATAAAACAAAAGTGTGGTAATAATTCTGTAGTTAGGTATGTATGGCTGTTTATAATTTAAACTTTTTTCAAAAAAAAATGTGTCCCTTTTGGCTATATCATTTTAATTATTACAAAACAGAAGGGGACTTCCGTGAATGAGATTTTAATTAAAAAATCACATCTTTACATCTTGGAATGCCTTGAAATAATTAAGATTTTCTGGATTCCTTACACAGTAATTTTCACCTAAAAAAGGTGAATTTAAATTTTTCAAAAAGAAACATTCCTCCAAGATATAAATTAAGAATGCTCACACATTTAACGCGTTTCTCAAAGAGAAAATTATTCAGTTTGTCACTGACAAATTAGTGCTGTAATACATAATCATTTTTGGAACACGTCATGATAAGTGCAGAAGTCTAGGAGATTCGTGACCTTCCTTAAAATTTTGTATTGCACTGTACTTACTGGCAGAGAGCGACTTACTAATCTGTAGGTATTATGAGTACATGACTAGTGTAGTCCTAGACGAAATGATATTGTTTGAAAGAAGTCTTGTTAAAATTTAATTATGGCGTATTGTAACAACGAAAAGTAATTGTATGAACTCTATGAAAATTATATTTCGCCGACAAAAGACGAGCAATTCACAGAATGCAATGTTCGATTCATAACAGAGGACGTAGTAACGAACAATTTCTATTAAAAGCGTAAAAGGTGTTCCATAAAAGGTAGTGGGTATATCCTCCCCGGTGTATTTTAATTAAAAATTATTTGATTATGGTTATTTCCGTCCCTTTATTAGAAATCAGGTGCTTAAACGGGAGGGCGTGCGATGATAAAATAAAATCTCAGCCAGGGGCGGAAAATTCGATGAGCGCCAAAGCAATAAAGCGATGATTGGGCCAGTCGGCGAAAATGAAAAGACGCATTCTGTACATTCCGTTTTGTTTCAGATACAGATTTTCGGCTTCAATTCGCAACTCTACTCGAACTTCTCCGAAGCGCTGCACAAAGCCCAGGGAATCGTCGTCATTTCTCTGCTGCTGCAGGTGAGTTTTTATCTACAAACAAAACACTACGCAAGAAAATAATAACCCATCGAATATCGAAATATTAACGTGACTATGATGAAATCACCTTCTTCAAAATCAAATCTTTAAATCTTTTTTATGGTGTAGCTAACACTAAAATATTTTCGGTACCTATTTTATATTTGAAAGTTTTTATTGTTCACAGTATCTACAATATTTTCCACTGAAAATTCCTGAAAACTAAGCATCCCTTTTGTTAGAAGAAATTGTTGACATAACTTTCTAATTAAGCACACAAGACTATTATTGTTCTATTATTATACAAAATCCTGTCAATGTCGTCCCACTGGCGTACATTCCCGTAAAATAATTAAATCCAGTTAAAATAAGGAGTAGTTAAATAAATATCGATCCACCGGATTGTTTACCGTCTGTAACTTCTTTTCTCCAGGGACTCTAAAGTAATTAAATGCGGTCCTAAAGCAGATATAAAGCTGTAATCCACATTACATCTCTATCAGGCACGAACTATTTTGTGCCACATAATCAATTCCATCCAGCTCCGTCCGAATAATCGATCCCTTTTTCATAATAAATTTTATATGTGCAGCTATATTTCATTCAGAGTTATTAAACTGTTCCGATGATTTTTGATTTTTAATGCTATTGGGAGGCAGCAGTGGAAATGGATGTATCCCAGCAATCACTGGATATTATTCGATTTCTCTAATCCTATTAAATTAATGTAACTTCCGTTTTAGAGCTCAAGTTTAAAACCTGCAATTATTGAAACATATGTTCCAGTAAAATAGGTACAGAGATAAAACATTCAGTTTTGATGTCGCTGGATTAATTTCCATATTTGTTTTTTACTTTACCTTAGTAGATTATCTATCTTTGATCGAGGTCTCTATTTTATTTAAAACCAACGGTAATGTTGTTCTTTTCTCACAAATGATATTTGACATTTCCATCTCTTTTTCGCATCCAAGTCAGGAAATATACGTACTGCTTAGAATTAGAAATTATGTACAGTACTTGATAAAATCAAGTTAATTAACTAAGAAAAGTAATAATGTAGCTTACTAACTAGACGATCTACTTCCAGAAACAGAACAACCACATGTATATTATCAAGTTACTGTAAGAAATGGGGCAAACGGAATAAAATTTCTGTATCTAGTTTCGCAAGATAATGTGTTGTTATATTAGATCTCATCTTGAAATTAGTAGAAGAAGAAATTTTAAATTAGGATATTTAGATGATATAAATTTTAACATTAACAGAATACCGATACCTAATGAAAATCATTCAACATTTTCAACTAGTAATATGAGTATTTTTTTATGTGAATCAATAATTTTAGTATGCCACTACTGACAGATTGCGGTACGAAACGTTTTTTTTTTTTAATAAAAGGTACAAAGAAACAAGAAACAATATTGACAAAATGTCACTGGTGGGTCTTAAATTAAACGTTTTTCTGTTTAAATAACGGTCTTTTGCAGTCCTTAATGTTTACGGAGTAAACATTTACGAGTCGCAGAGCAAACACCAATTTGTAAACTACCACTATATTCCCGCATTTCAATTGTTTAAACTGGAATCTGGTGTATATATCGTATTAGCCTGCAATTTATTATTTAATTACAAACCCCCGTTGAACTCAGAAAACTTCACAACTACCGTCAAGTGTAACAAGTAGAATATTGTACATATTTAACTAAACGAATAGTATATTACACAACGAGGGCTGTAAATAGCTGATATTTTTTTATTTAGATTCCGCAGAGCAGATTATCTGTACCTACCTACTTGTTCAGTAAGTAACTGGAAGCTTTAATAAATAAAAACTGTCAATTTGTTAATTATTACGTATATTATAAGCATTGATATCAAATCATACCCATACCACATATCTAACCATACCATACTCCATGATCATGGTACAGAGGGTTGCGTTTCGTTCTACTAACTCGAGGTTGACTGTTCGATTCCGCGTGAAGGATGGTACTTTTTCAACTATTATTTGTTTCAAATTCCACGAATAGCTTTGCTGATGGTTTACATACTGTATTTATTACGCATGCGCGGGTGTATACTATTTGATAATGCTTGTGGATTTTGCGCTGCAAAGACGAAATTTGAAATAAGGATGACAAACTGACAACGGAGAGGAAACAGAGATGACCTCAAATTGATTAGTTGAAGTAGAAGTTTGTAGCTTCCTCGTGATTACGGATTATAAGAGTGGTTATTCCTGAATGTTGTAGATACATATACATAGAGAATAGAGGGAAAAATAAAATTATTTTAATTTACGATCGGAGTTACGATAAAAATCCTGATCATTAGTGTTTTTTTGTTTAGACTGGTGTGATGAAAAGCATTTTTGTTAGTCCCTCTCCTTTATTCCAATCTATAGCGCTGGATTTATGAACTAACAGAAAACGGTTAATTCATAAAAAATATATTTTTATTTATACAAAAACGCTAGTTTTTGATTTTTGGAATGTGTATAATAGGCAATTTTTTTATTTGAATATTTTTGCGCTTACAGAAACGTCATTCTTTCTGTTAGTACGGTATAGGGTAACAATTTTCTAGACAACTGAGTAATTTTTCCACACGGTTCCCCCTCACGCTGTCTAGATGCGCGTTAAATTATTAACGCCAACCAACTTTTAATGATGTTACTTCAGTAATATGATTTGTGCAAGACTATTATTCATTTCGGAAATTTGTGTGTACACTGCAAAGTCTTACCATAAATTATGGGAGGGTATCAGTGGATTTAATTATAACTTAGGTGTATTTCAGTGGTAGTTAACACAAGAGAAGTGGAAGTTCAAGTGTCGCGTATTTATAATGAACTTTGTCGTCGTTACAGATTCATCAGAACGGCGGAGGTGAAACTAATTAAAATTGCGTAATTAATTTTGAAATGAGTTTTTTTTATAGAGTTTTAACTGTTGTCAGCTCAAACCAGCACCGTTTTCACCGGCGTACTTCGTTTGCAGTTTGTATTTCATCAGCTGTCTGCTTTTACGAGCATAATCGCTATTAGGATATGTATAAAGCAATACGGCCTTTTAGTGTTCTGCGATATGAGCACCCGAAAAATTAAGAGTGACTTATAATGGCAGGGATAATTGATTTTGCTTCTTTTGGTCGATTCTATAATGTATGTACATATTATATTAATTAAATTAACATCAGAATGGATATGGATTATTACTATAATTATTTATATTAAACATTAAGGTGAGACTATTGTACAGGGTGTTTAAATAAATATTTGCCAATCCCATTTAATAAAAAAGTGCCAATATATCGAGAAAACTGAACACCGGTATTCAAACAATGATATATTTTTTTCTAACGTTTCTGTGCAACGTTAACAAATGTAAATGTCTCACAGTTAAAAACACATACATATACATAGTTAAATATTATGTTGTTCAAGCGTAAAAATGGAAAATATAGTTTAATTAAAATATCCTCTTAGTTAATTTACTATCGGATACTCTAATCAAATTATCTTAAAACCTTTGTCAAAATTGGTAGCTTGTGCTTTTTTCTTCTAAGTACATATTACTAGTTTATAAATTAAAAAAGTTATTTTAACAAATATCGTCAGACAAATAAGTTTGTAATTAAATAGCTAACAGTTAGTTGAGCCATCCCGTGTTTCTAATTTTTCACTTAATGACGTCATTCACGTAAAATAAAATTTATTAATTTATTCTCACTAGAGATGTTTAAAAAATACATACATTTTCCCCAAATATTAAGTAGGAAGTTTGTCTAGATCGTTTGTCATAGAACCAGACCCTTACTTTTATTTTGCCTTTTAACGACTATTAGTAATTTACGAAAACCGCTTTTCAAGCAACAATATGTAGCACCTACGGGTTAGTGTCGTGCGCCCAATTTTACACTTATTGGTTATCTGATTATTTTACCACGCAGCACATATTACAGCCATTATATGATTCGATTCAGTGTCGGCGGTGAGATTAATTATAAAATTAATTATACTGGCAATTTCGTAACAGGCATGCATTAAGTATTTCGTACCAACCACATTGATGATTCCAATGTGTTATACAAGTATACTATCGATCGTCACTAGTTGTAGCCGTGCTGCGAGGGAAGGGCTGGTTCAATAACTCTAAGGTGAATGGAACTAATTTTCTCAATAGTAGGTGAGCGGTGGAGTTACGACCACCAGTACTTAATACACCTGTACATAGAATACAAGAAATAATCGTTTTCGTACTAAATTACAAAATGCCATTACACACTGGCAGAATTATTCTAGAATGAACTATTGTTTTCTATAAAAAAATTTAAATAAATCTTTAGTAGCATACTGAGGACCACTGTGAAGTTAAAGTAATCGGGACGTAGTGGTTACATAGTAGCAGTCACAGAAGAAATGTGGCTTTTGTAATTCAATTCTATCGTTAATACAATCTTATTTTTCACAGCGGAATTAATTGCAGTTCATGCCGTCTCTAACTTATAAATCATATCTGGGGGTGAATGTAATAACCTAGCCTAAGAAATGTGTTATCTAAAGCAAAGGGTTAATTTAAATTCAGGAAACGCCATGTATCATACATGAGATAGGAGACAGGCAGTCTTTGCGGCTGCTGTAGTGAAAAATGCAATTATAATAAAGGTACACGACGAAATTTGCATGATTACTCGGTGGCTTAAAGAGTGTTTTAAAAGTTGGACTACAATACAATTTGCATAACAAGGAGGGTGTACTGGCACCACCTTCATCCACTTTTCTTTTATGTCTCTCTTGCTGCTCTCGCTGGTTCAGGAGACGCCAAAGTGTATCGTAATTTTATGGCGATTTTTGGCGATTACAAATTAGACCTTGTATATTCACTGTTATTTAAATACAGGGGAGGGGACGGTTTCGGAATATTTATGGCTAATTTTACGGATTTCCCGCTCCCAAGGAAGACATACAAATAATTGGTTTACCCAAAACGGAACGCCGGAATTTTAAAGGAAAGGGAGCGACAGCTACTTTTCCTGGATATAAAATTAACTTCATTCATTTTTACCATTTTGATCCACCTGTTATCATTTTTCCGGAGAAAAAAACTGCAAATTACGTGTTTCAATTCTAAGAATAAGCAACCGTTACATTTGTCTTTGATATTTATGCTGCTTTATTTTAATCTACTACTTTCTATTTCAGTTGGGAGACTTGTCAAACCCAGAACTTAGGATACTAACAGATCAATTAGATAAAATTAGATACGGAGGTGAGTAGATAAATGCATAGTTTGTTTGAACGTGTTGTCTCTAAACAAAAGATCCACTAAGTTTAAAGGTAGAGAAAATTTTAAGGGTTTAAACCCGTATGTACTTTGTAATTCCTTGACACATCTTAGTAATATTAATAGAATATTGGTATTACCCGAGGTATTACCTTTAAGAATGGCAGTATACAGAAATATCCCGTAGTCTACAGATCTTAAGGTACATCAAGTATGTTTATAACTAGATTAAAGTTTAATCTACCTAATAGGTATAGACATAGCCTGGAGTTTCTTGCAAACTTCGTGTTTATAATTTAATAAATAATTAACGATGCCTCTCTTGCTCTGAAGGCGCATTGATTTTGATTTTCTGAATACGTTTTTGTTTCATTAGTTTGAAAGGAAAACATTTTCTTAAACAAATTAGTTTTCCGCGTTTAAGTGATTACAAATCAGACGGGCAAGTAGTTTAGTTGCAAGGATAATAATCTTTAAATGGTGATAATTTCGTGACCTGAATTGAAGGCGAGAAATTCAAAACAAAAAGGAATTCATTAACAATTATCACCCACCCCTCATCAAGTTAGTAATTCCTGTTAATTCCACACGAACGAAATAAATCTACCCCAACTCTCGACCAAATCATATTCCGTCCAACGGGCGGGATCCTGTAGAACAACATAATATCCAGTTGTCTCGTCTGTCAACAGGAGATGAGGTGGAGGTAAAGCGGTTATCAGTAAGAGGGCTGCTCCCGGAGACCGACTATTACATGACGTACGACGGATCCACCACGATGCCGGCTTGCCATGAGACAGTCACATGGATGATACTCAATAAGCCTATTTACATCACCAAGCAACAGGTATTTATACGAACCGCGAATAACTTCGCCCTGGGGTACATATTTTAAGGGATGTCGGTCGCTGCTTCCGTCCGGAGGTCGGCCTAATTTCATTTCAATGTTTAAGTTGTTGCAGGATAACGTATACACTGTGTCAGAAGTTTGATTCGATATCATTTTAATAGGCATAAAAAACAACAAAAAAAAAGTCTATTATCTATAGATATATCAGGTCAGCTGTCTTAGAATTACATCAAATGATTCGACTCGCACTGTTGCCAAGTTGATAAAATTCCCCAATATCGACACATTTTAAAAATAAATTTATTTATTTATGCTTAAAATCTATCTTATGCAGTCATTGCATTGTACATCGTACATTGTATTATTTAGTTATTACAAATTCATTTGTCGTTTTACGAAAATCATATTAACGTTATTTGCATAAATAGATAAAAATAAGAATAACAAACTGAATTGGATAATTATAAAACTGTGACAGAATAGTTTCCTCTGAAGAATTGTATATAGCTGTGATTTTCAAACAAAATGCTTTTGGTTTGTTTGGGACTAATTTCACTAACTGAAAGTGATACTTATACTAGAGGTTACTTTACGCTGCCAAAAATGTAAATTATGCACTCTAATTTGAAATATTAGATTTATTCACGAGTCGCAAAATGTCTGTTCTAATTCTTTGTAGCGTGTTATAAAATTTACATTTGACTTTGACTTTTTGTTATCTACTAGCGCATTAGTGAATGGACTAACCACATCAAAACTCACCACTAAATGACTAATATTAAAATTATTTATATGTTTCAATAGATGTTCAGTTAAAGCTTGAGGAATTTTTGTCAAATATGTGGTATAAAATACTAAAAACTAATCGAATACTTTTCAATTATGTTTTATTTTCCGTTTGCAACAAGAGAAAATAGTATCGGCGAATTTTTAATTAAATTTTGTTCTGTTCAACTTACAGAATATCGGGGATTCCGATTCACAAAAGCAAATATTGGCTTTGGACGGATCCACAAAATCGTCTAATAAGCTATTCAATTTATCTACGCAAATTTCAAACGGTCCATTATCTGATCAGCGCGTTTGCAATTTTATGCACAGTCAGATACAAATTTAGCTCTCGTCCAATTGTTGCAAATTGCAGACGTATTGTTTTATACGATGCAGCGTCATAATGATGCAACACACGCATTTTTATTCGTATAAATCGGTCAAATAAATATTCAAATACGATATTTATCAAATGTTTTCTGGTTATTGAGTAGTAGGTATTTGCAAAAATAAAAAAAAAATGTAGTGACAAATAGATACGGGAATTTTGTATGTGCTACAATTTTTCATAGTCGCATTTCGCTACACTTGTGAATGAATTGTAATTTATAATGGCTAGTACACAAGTATAATAAACTTCTTAGGTGGCATGTTACGACGTTTTTCGGAATTTATAAAGCGTTACCCACCCCTAGGTAGGTATAAAGATTTCCGCGAAATTATTAATACTTTTAGGTATTGTTAACCTATACAACTATTTGATGGAATATGTAGAAAAACGCTTAATAATGTAAGGACGTGTTCAATCAATAAACTATTTTTAAGTACCTACTGTAGCTACTTTTTCCAGTGAAATTTTAAAAATAGATTAGACTATAGGTACTCTAAATTTTAGCACATTTAGCAGATACATTACTTGTTTCCGTGGACCAGTACGCATTAAAAATAGAAACAAATACCTAAAAATGAGCCGAAACAACTATAACAAACATGGTACTCCAACGACTCATGGAAAGTGGATTGTCACTAAGCGTATTTGGCTTTGTCGCCGCATGCAAAATTCCAAATCAATCGTTAGGTTAAAGCGGTACATTGGAACCATAGAGTTGAATAATTTGGTCGGCCATTGTTGTGCAAATGAAGCTTTTATTGGAGTTTCCTGCTAGCTGCGTGTCGGCTCGTCATGAGCTAAGATAATTTATTTTCCGCGGCCAATGAATCACGGAGCTCAAATCGAAACGGTGACCGCAGGCTAGATTAACATGTAGCTACTCTTTATCTCACCCTTACATCGGCTTCCTTGAGATATTTCATCGTCGGCGATTCAACCTTTATTATGACTTAATTCCCCTCCTTCTCCCCTCATTTCCACACACAGGGTGATTTGTATAGGGTGATCCGTAATTAACTTTTATATTACGATTCACTTCTTCGCTATTAAGATATTTACAGGACAAAAGGTAGACAACTATGTCATTAAAGCAATAAATACGTTTTCTATCAGATAAGTGATATTAAAATGATATTTTAACTGACATACAGAATGAGTTATATATATTTAAACGTCGGAATCAAGGGTGTCACGGTACCTTTGAAAATAAATGTTTTTTTTTTCTTAAGAACAGTTTACCAAAAATGCTTTCTCTTCGAAATGAAAGGCGACAAAATTTAAAAAAATAAAATTTTTTACATTTTACTAACGGAGATAATCAAACTAAATTTTGTATACATTTTCCGGTATATGTGATAATATCAAATACCTTAAACAACCAGCTCCAGAAATTTAGTAAAAAAAAGTAATACCTACAACCCAGTGTGAAGCAAAAATGTTTCGTATATTTCCCGCGTAGTGTGTTTGTCAGATTCTCAGTAAATTCTATTCGATATTTTTTATTTTGCGTTATAGCGCATTATTGGAAGATCGTGTTAATATCGTAGAAAAATCGCTAAGTTTTTGACTGACGATATTCAAAAATTTATAAATCATTATTATTGGGAAATCACTCGTATTTCGAAGAGGCATATTTGGAAAAAAATCTCTGACAACTCCCATTTATTTTCAAAGCTGCTTCAGTCCAATGTTAAATTTTACTCACCCTATAAAAAGAGAGATTTTAAGGTTTTTAAGGATTGCGATGATTATTTGTTTGACATTGCCTGGCAAGATTTCATTGAAATGACAATAGAAAAAAAAAATTGTAAACATTGAGAAAGTAGATAATTTCAAAGTTCATATGGAATGTAACAGCTTCTTCTTTTTTGTTTTGTTAACTACTTTCCAATAAAGGTATTAATTATCATTATAGTATTTATTCTAATACTACCCGCTTCGTTTGCGTTGATCTAAAACCAACAATGGGTTATTTAGTTAAAAAATTTCCTGGTATTTCCAGTGTGGCAAAAATATTTGTTTGTAATTTAAACTTTTTCTTATTTACCGTGTCGTTAATATCAACAAATTTATATTTTAACTAGGCAAGATCTTTATTGTGTGAATTAAAAGTAGTGTTATTGTAATTATAGTGGCTATAAGGTTGCATTAATAGTGGTAATTTACGACGCTGATCCATATCTCACGTTTCTTTAGGTTTACTTTAACAAATTGCCGCGGCTTTATACACTCAAGCTAAGTGTATTATACGCTATGTTGACACTCTTAATTCGATTGTGCTTTATCCATTAACCTAACGCATATGAAAATTAGTTTGTTCCGTTATTAGCTAATTATATTACATCTAAGGAGTCTCAGAATGGGATTTATTTTTTCATAATGCAATTTAAGTAACAGCGGTTTTATTTTACAATCGCGCTCAGGTAATACAGTGATATATGATTGAATCGAATTAAATTTTCATGCGGACCTATTAAACGAATGTTTCGGTAAAATCACTCAGTTAATACCATGGTATCAATTTGGCGACCAATGTATTATCCAGTTCCGTTAAAGGGAAACCGTGGCGGCACCAAATCAGATAATTTAAATCCATTTCATAATTGACATTGCGGTAATAGTGGTATTATCATAACTCATAGTAATGTGCCAGTGACTGTACTGTGAAATTTTCACGATGGTAATCTACAAATGTCGAAAAATGTCGACAAAAATTAATATCTACCTAATCCTTTATGCAAACATCCATCCTCAATAGTTAACGTTTTTTGCTAAATATGTATTAAAATTTGTATAATCCTCATTATTTGCGGATATTTCGCATTTAATGTTCGAAATCCATTATTGACATATTAAAAGCCAAACGGAATATTAAAGCATGCAAAGTTGAATAATTATAAAATGAGTATTGTTGTTTAGATTCATGAATTCAGGCCCTCCAGATAATACAAACCATTTCTATATATATTCATATCTCTAATGAAGATTGATGCATTGATTTAAAAAAATAATCGGAAACGTTATGCGTCGTACTTAAAAGGACGTCAAACACGATGAAGTAATGTTAAAAGTGATTTTATTTTATTATACAAGACTGTGTATCAATTCCAACTGTTTTTCAAAATGTTGAAAGGCTAACTACTTATATAGGTATTAGATACCTACCTGAAATTTGAATATTTAGTAGCATTTTCAAGTAGTCATATGTAAAAACTAGCCTTAAACAATTGTAAAGGATCTAACACGTTTTTCTGTTTTTATAAATTAGGCTCTTGAATAGCACTTATGTAGATGTTACGCCCGATAGAGAAATATAATCTGCAAGGCAACGTGAAACAATAAATTAGGATTTTAATTAATCGCTAAAAGCAGAGGTAATGATTTTTCTCATCAAGCAATTCCACTCATGCGATGCTTGAAATCTAGCAACCCAGTTGCTTTTCATCTTTAAAAATCCCTAGCGCTGGTGAAAATTCGTCTGGACGTCATAGACCCTCTATTCTATTTATAAGTTCTCTGTAGCGCAACACGCTATTGTAAGACCGAAGAGTCCTTGATAATAATTTGTAATTACTTCAGATGATCCCGATAGGTAATTAAAAATTGATAACTTACGTGGTTAAACAAGGCTTTTTTTGTTTCTGCTAGTACCTCAAGAATATGTTTATGGACACGGATCCACAACCCAAGAGTTCTTAATATAAAAAGTTGGAATGTAACCATATAAAATAAACAATCTAAAGCGAATATAAATAAATTTTATGTTATTTTATAATGGCGTATAGGTACGTATCCTCTAGGAAATACGTTGTCGAGTGTATTGTTTTGGCAATGGCCCAAAATGGAGTTCGATTGAAACTTACCTAATTCCATTACCTTTGTTTGAATCACTGAAAGTCGAACGTTATAAAATAAAGCATAGAGTAAACTTTTCAAAATAATAAGAATTTAATATGGGAATACCTACTACACTGAATACACGTATGTTATTTCTTTAACACAATGTAGTTTCTGAAAAAGAAGCACGCGTTCTGGGTCGTTTAATTGTTCGAAAATAGCAGTGGCGGTGCAGAGCAAAATGCAGTCAAATCATATCCAGTGTGAAAACTTCACATTTACAACCATAAATGTAATTCTAAGTCTGACATCCTTTCCGTTTCCTGGAGCGCAACAGGATTTATGTTGCAGGGTGGGCCGTCACGACGTCTAATCTGAATTCAGCGTCGGCCTTAGTGGATGGTTTTGCGCCTTTAAACCCGCTGAAATGGAGTGCGTTCTGTGTTATATCGCCGCCGACTTGGGGGTTTTATTCGGAGGCAGCGACGCGTGTGGCGTTTTTAAGGCCTTGTTTCGCGCCTGGCTTGCCATTTTGTCATTATATTTAACGCAAATTAGCCGGTAATTAATTTATTAATGTCGCCGGGGACTCGAATACTTTGTAATTTATAGAACGCCATTCAAAATAAGCGATGAAATCAAGCCATTCAGTTTAGCCGTCGAGCGAGGATTTTGAGAGACAAATGACAAGAAAGTTACGAGTGAAATTCCCTAGATATTGGTGATTCTTACGAAAACTAACTGAAAAAACATTGCAATTGACAATTTATAAAGGCCCGGAGCTATAACTGGGTTATACATACAGGGTGTAACATAAAGGTTGGGAATAAATTAAACAGTGGATTTTTTATTTTAAAAAATAAATATGTCATATAAAATTATGCTCTACGGGTTTTCTTTTCCAAGCTACAGGGTGTTAAAAAATTTCAAAAAATTTAATTTTTTCAATGCAAAAATCTTTTTTCAATGCCTATTTGACCATATTCGGTGGCTGAGTCAAAGCGTACTTCATAATGCTTTTGTTATTTTTATATTCCTATGTTAGCAGTGGGATAAAATGGTATTTACAAAAGTTTTATTTACGGAAAAATTACAAGACCTAGAAATAAAACGCAAGAGGGTAATCTTGTTTAAAATAAAAAGTAGATCACAAACAAATATTAAAAAGATGTTTCTACCAGTGGGGTACCACAATTTTCTTCGAAAAACCTTATGGTACAATCCGTACGCGCGCCACTGAGTAATTTACAAAGTCAATTTTTTTCCTGTAACTAGGGGATTATCAAATTAAGCGAAGGCTAAAATTTCGTTCCATTATCTTATAATGTTCGAATTTTATTGGAGAAAAATTAAATTTTTTGAAACTTTTTAGCGCCCTGTAGCTTGGAAAAGAAAACCCGTAGAGCAGGGGTCGGCAAGTAATTTTAGGTGGGGTCCGGATACTTCAAAAATTCATATTTCTTACAAATTTTCATTTGAACTCAAATTTAATCTGCTTACTAACCATTAAGAACTTAAAACAGTCACACAATTGTAAAATACTAGAAAAAATGATAAGGTTGGCACTCAAACGTAAAAAAACATTTTTTAATTAATTTATTTGAGTAATTTATACTTTCAAAAAATTTTTGGCGGTCCAGTATTTTAGCTACCGCGGTCCGCCAGTTGCCGACCCTTGCCGTAGAGCATAACTTCATATGCGAAAAAATTATTTTTTAAACCAAATAATCCACCGTTTAATTTATTCCCAACCTTTAAGTTACACCCAGTATATAATTATCTCGAACAATGTGTTTCATAAATAATATTCCGAACTGATTATGATTATGAGTCTTGTTACAATCAATGTTTACAATTCATTTTTGGCCGTTAGAGGGCGGTGCGCAGACGATATGAGACGAACTTGCAAAATTCCTTGAAACTGAATTATTTGGAGCGTTTGACCATACTGAGATTAATATTAAACCATTTTTTCAGGCGGCGGCTGATCAAAATTCATACGTATGTCAACCGCCTAGCGAGTCTACGTCAATTTACTTTTTAATAACCCCTTTATATTTGCGCTAAAATTACCCTACTTTATATTCACTAGAACGCGATATAATTAAAATGGTTTCGACTTGCATTAGCTAATGGAATATCATTATAATTTACATATGAAATTTTATTAACACAGCATTCATGGCACGTTAAGGAGTTTATTGCCGCACATTTTGACAGTTTAGGACTGGCGACTACGTTTACTTTCAACAACTTTATCGTCTATCATCAGATAGTATGCACAGATTTATTAGTGTTAATAGGGTTTATCTCTACCTTCTTTTCTATAAATTGACGAAAAACTGAGTAGAGAAATAAAAATTATACAGTGTGTCAGAAGTTTCACTGCCACTACTTGGGCATAAGACAGATTAAATACAAATAAGTATATAGGAAAACGTTGAATTAATTTCGATATGTAGATACTATATTGTGACAGCCAAAGTTCTATCACACTCTATATAAGTGCGAAGATGTCGAGAGGGTTTGATCTAATTGACAAAACTCAAGAAACATTCTAAATAGAATTATATTTGTGTATTTTTTTTACATTACACTAAAAACATTTGCTAATAGAATGTGATTATGAAGGCGTGATGTCACTAGGTACACACGTAGGTATTTCTTTTTTTTTCTACCAAAGTATGTTATTAACAACAACTAAGTTTGGCTTTCTTGCAAAAGTTAAAGTAAGACTTTCAATTCCCCTGGAAGTTGGATAGATATTTTTCCTTCTTTTTTTCTCAGAATAAGCTGGAAATATCCTAATAACTACGTTTATCAAATGTTTCCAAGTTTCCAAATTATACCAGGCAATAAAATTTATTGTATAATGCCTTACAAAGTCCCTCTCAATATTATGTGTTCGAGAGACATATTGCATCCTGCATTTAATAGAAAAGAGAACAAATTTCCTGTTTTTGTTATTGCAGATGCATGGTCTGCGGAGGTTGATGCAAGGGGATGCCAAACACCCCAAAGCGCCCCTAGGAAACAATTTCAGACCGCCCCAGCCGCTACATCATCGACCAGTTCGGACAAATATTGACTTTAATGTTAAACACCGAAGCGACGTAAGTATTTACTAATGTAGATGTACGTTATTAACGACCTACGTAGCTACGAAATACCGTTATAGATTAGTTTTTGTTTTTAGTTACTGAAAACCTTTGTCAGAGAGTAAGGGTATGGACAAAAAAAAGATTTACTATACTAATACTATTCTTCCAAATGCGGTTCAAATGATCGGCATACAATATATTTGAAATCCTTAGATATATTTTAATAATCTAAATAGGGTTATCCAATTTGTATTAACTAAGTGTATCCTTCAATTATTAGTTCATGGTCATTAAATCAACACAGCTTGGAAACTGTTGACACATTATGATGGATTATTCAAAATATCTACATACGTACATACAATCGTCTATTCAATCGAATTTGCAAATAACAATTGTAAAATAGATTGGACAAAAATAACTCCAAATTTATGTACGCAAATAAAATAAATGTCTACCTTTAAACATGCTACATATCATGTTTTCTATCAATCAAAGTTATTCGTACATACATATAAAAGAAAAAATATCATATAGGTACCTAATATGTGTCGGATAATAGGTGTATGGTATTGTAATTGAATTGTTTTACTGAAGCCATCAAGCGAACAACAATGTACTTACATATATTAAACTCATCTTGTTAATATCAGCCCAACATAATCACGGTTGTTACTCGACAATAAGATTATCATAAATCATCCTAAGCCAGCTGTCTAAACATTCACATTACCCACAACAAACAACCCATTATTCATATATATTACCTTCGCTGTGGCGTAGCCCCAAGTTACTTTATCCTAAAAGTTATAAAAGGTTTTGAGTCGAGAGAAATTCAATTTTTCATACTTATTGATAAAATGTAAAGTGTTTTCAATACTTTGCAGCAAGTGCCTACACATTTTTAAATTTTTTGACATTCAACTTATGGAATACCTACTGGATGCTGAGAAATCACGGTGTTTCTTTGAATATCACTTTTATGCTACGTCGCAGAAACTTCACGAGTGTCTTTCTGAGCGATACCTTGTATTTACGTCAGCATGTATGTCAGAAGCATTGATTTAAGATATACATAATTTAGTTTATTCTAAATACAGCTTTAATACAGTACTCATGAGGCAGCGCACAAACTTCACGGGGGCACTACTTGGGATAAACAAAAAAATTTGTATAAATCTTTTCAGAAACACAGCGAGATATGAGCCTCCAAATATTTTGAAAAAAATACATTTTTTTACGGGCAGATAAATATGACAATACTGGTTGGCTTGATGGCACACACATACACCCAAAATCGAAGTAATCTAAAAAATTACAACCAGTCATTATTAAAAAAAATGTGGTAGACATTATATGGAAATCATCGAGCCGTACACCCATTATATTATATACATACATACCTAAATATAACTTGCATTACTACCGCCACCCGTTGCTTTCCCAGACGCCTACGTTTAACCTTTTCTTGGAAATCCTATTATGATAATCTTATTTCGGGTAACAAAAAATGTATTAACTATGTAAAATTTAAACCGATGGATTCGATATTCCCTCGAGCTCTGCTTCCGCGTGCCATTTCGGGCCTATCAGCCGGTAAATTAAATTATTTAAAGTGCCATCAATTTACTGAACGGCTCTTCTGCAGTCAATCGAGTTACTTCGAACAAAAAAAAAACTGGCCGCGGTACCGATGCTTCATTACAAACCGTTCGAAACTTATCATGGATTAGTATGTTTGTTTCTGGAACGGGGTGTATCAATTTGGAAAATAGGAAAACCTGGACTTACAAGGGAATTCCAGAGACCTAATAGAAATGCCAGGGAAGTATCTGAGAATCTCCCAAATAGGTATTTTCAAGTTCTAATTGTAAATGCTGCCATCAAATGTCACGTTGCTGAATAATAAATTTGTCAAGTACTGGTAATTTTTAAGAATAGGCAGATTCGGTTGTTTCGGTTATCAAATGAATATGCAATATACAATAATTGTCTTGCCAAATATAAGACTAAAATTTCAAAAAATAAGTCAGTTTTGATCATTTGAATATTTCCAATCGATGCACGATTGTGAAGATCATTTTGATGTGTTCTTATTTCACTAAGAAAAGACCGACAAAGTAAAATTTGAGTACCTATGTTGGAAAAAGATATGGAAAAATGTGTGCGTGAAATATAAACTGGGCAATGTCAAAGCACATATGAAACCGGATATTATACCGCACACGTTTTTATAGAGTTACAAATAAAAATATTTTCAATTTAGTGGGAATTTTATGCTGGCCTCTATATAATTTTGTGAAATATTTACGTCATTGATTGAATAACGGAAATCAATTTTTTTGTTCAAACTTTAGGAAAACACCTTTGTGAAACAAGCGACTTTTTTTTCGACTCGTATTTTCCTCAGGTTTCACTGCCGAAAGTTTATTTATTCGATTAACAGTGTGTTCCTTTTCAGGCAGGCAAGCAGTGCCCGAGCATGTACAAAGACGTCTACTACAAGGCGAACAGTTGGAAGCAGCACTAAAACGAGACAGTGACCTGTGCCACACCAATAAACTCGAATAAATAAATCAATAAATAAACTAACAATTAGTGGACGATCCGCTGCCTGGATGCTAAACAATTTAACGTTAAAGTGAAGTGACCAAACAGTTATAGTGCTAATAATAACAATACAAAAATTAAACATATCACAATATTTTGCAACATGTATGTAATATGACTGAATTATGTGTTACTGCTTTTATTTTAGAATAGTCAATTAGGAGATCAGTTTAGTTGGGTAATTGATTTTGAATTTATTTAAGGCCTAAATGCTCCTGGATTCAAAATAAAAAAATGTTGCATATCCTAAGGTATTTTAGTAAAAAATTACTTATGTAAGATTAGGAGTATGAATAGTCTAAAGAAATGTTTGTAATATTTAATTATATGTTGAAAGTTTATTTATTTTTTAAAAATATACGCTAACAGTGAAATATCCGTTGTTTTAATGAAACTCTCTTGCTGCCTAGAAAATTTAATTCGGAAAGAATGGCATGCTAGTTTTAGTCGATAATATAACAAAAAAATAATAAAGGATTAAATTCGTATTGACACATATGTTATACAGATTTTACAATTATTTTAAATTTGCTATGCGCTAATGAACGGTCACAAATTATATTAACCGGCAGTAAAAAACTTTTAGAAACAAAATATAGCAGACTAGCTGACCCGACAGCAGTTGTCCTGTACAAATTTCAATAAATTTGTTCGATCGAAAAGCGCTTTCAGTTTTTCCCGAATTTTCCAATTTTCCGGGCAACTTTTCGAATTTTTCTTACCCTAAAAACCTTATTTTAACAATTACGAACATTAAAAAAAATTAGCCAAATCGGTTCAGCCGTTCTCAAGTGATGCGTTTCCTCATTTAAATTTTATTTATAGGTATAGATACTATTATTATTTAATGCCTATAATACGTTACTATTATATTACATTATTTTCAAATATGTATTAGCAAACGCTATTTAGTTAAATTAACTTTAATATCCCTACAAGTCAATTGTAGATACCAATACCAATTACTATTTTACAATCTTCTAAATATGCAATAAGCCGTAATCCAACCCAATAATGTCACTGCTACGAAATGGTACAATTATTATATGTTTACGTTATTTCTTTATGTAACTATAACTACTTAATAACATTTCATTTAAGTAGGTAGTTAGTTTTTTAATTCGAATGAAAATTATACGTTTTAAAAGATTTGTTTAAACGGAGTTGCCAATCAAAATAATAAGCCTTTTCTCAGTTTATAGCAGAAATTTTAAATAAATCGCCACTGTAAACAGAACCCACGCGCTAACTTACTTTGACAATGCAAAGAGGACGAGGTATGCGCGTGCGCTGTAGGCGTTTATTTTGCAGTACACATGTGATTGTTACATTTCGTGGAATAGCTCACTTGAACTGGTTTTAATTATTTAGGTCCAGAAAAGAAAACAATATTTATTTTAAAGGAAATAAATATTAAATACCTAGGTAATATTTTGCTAAATAGAATATTTATTAATAATTTATTTTAAAATATAGGTAGCTACTTATTAATTAATATATAATAATTATGAGAATACATTTTCCAACATACGGAAATATGGGAAATAGGTACCTATATTAGTTATTTTGACAATTTTTATTTCTCTTTACTGCTACCTCTTTTTTTTTTCTGGAAAAAACTTTCATATTTTAATAAAATATGGTTACAATTAATTAGATAGGCATATTTTTATATTTTTATACCTATTTGACATCACTAAATTTTTAGTACCTAGATACGTAAACTCAAATAATACATGTGATTAGTAACAATGCTAATAGAAATTTGAATTCATTAAAAAGTATATTGATGTGGGTAAGATATAAAGCTACAAAATATGTCATTTAATAAGAAATTATCACGACAGCAGTCTACTTAAATATTTCTTATAGTTAGGTGCAATCGTACGAGTTGTAATACGAATGATAATGAATCTAATATTTTGTTAATAAACGGTTTGTTTATAAAGTTTTTTTTTTTTAGCAAATAAGTGAGAGAGGTAAAAGTTTTAAAATAAACCAGACTATCTGCTACATATTGTTGAATATTCAATTTTTGTCAAACAAAAGAGTTGTAGCAAGAAATAAATTAGAGGATGATTATTTCAACAGCCTCCAAGGGGCAGAAATTTTCTGAAAAAGTGTTGAGAAGTTGCACATGCATTGGTAGAAAATTTGTATAAAATTTGACCTATTAAGTATAGCTTTTTTGGTTTTCAAATTATAGTCCACTATTCCATATTTTTTGGAAACTTTGAGCGGCTGAACATTTTACTAAGATCATTTTGATATAAAACGTGTTCTTTTTAGTTGTAGATTCACCGGTACCATTTGTGCTACTTGTTTTGACAACACCCTGGATACATACATATGTATATTAACATGTTTTTAAATTACACAACTGTCTTTTATTGGTTGTGTAAAACGGAAAATATCGCATTAAGAGACGCGTTCACCAGGGGACAAAGGGTCGTTTTTTTCCGATGTGAAAAGTGTAGACCAGGGCGGCCTTAAAAGTTCAGGTCTGATGAAGGTAATGTTTATGGGCATGAAACCAAAAACATAAAGAAAATAAAAAAAGTTATAATCTTAAGAAAGCCTATTTTGTTTTACGACCGTCAGATGCCGTGATCTTCACCCGCGAGGGCTATAAGTTTGCCACGAGTAGATGGAAAAATTGACTACACACGAGATTGTTGATAGGTGAAAAGGAATCCGGAGGACGGGGCCGTCGTTTTATTATCAGAGAGGGAATCTTTTGTAATAAGGGGATGCACCGTAATTACCAGCCCCTGATGGATTTCCCTGCTGGGCATAAACCGTTTATTTTTTGAATCCCTTAGCGGTTGGAAATCAAAAGCTCGTTTGTGAGACCCGTTCCGGCGAACATGAATGGAATTTTATATGATGTGTAATGTTTTTTAAAGAATTCTGAATTTATTTCCTCGTTCCGGCCTTGGGTTTAATATCCCGACCAGCAGGTGAACGAAAATTACATTTCCTTGTCCTCCGCCTAGCATTGCTTAAAAGGTACTCGCCAGCTAATTTACTTTCCTAATGGGATTTTCTTAAACTTGGAAAAAACGGCGTAGGCAATACGTACCGTTTTAAATAAATTGTATGCGGACAAGATTCCTACTAAAAATTAATTTGCAATAAATCATACCGCGTTGGAAATAAGCTGTTAATCAGTTTTTGTTGAAAGGAATAAATATCGAATAATAAATTGGAACACAAAATCAAATAACTGTTTTCCTCAGATATTCTCGCAAGAATTGCGTGGCAAATAATGTTCTCATAAGCGTACGCACCTGTCTAGTTCTTAATAAATAAATAAAACTGTGTATCCGATCTAACTCTACTATTAATATCTCAATTAATATATCTAGTTATTCTTTATGTTTATGGTTATTAAGTAAAAAAATAAGGTTTGAACGAAAATTTTGCAAAATAAAATCAAGAATCACAACACCAATTAATTTTAACCACCAGTTGATATTTTTTTACAAACGTTTTAACAAAAAAGGCTTGAAAAGTAACTTGATGAAATTAGTATAAATCCGCGAGAAATTTCGCGTAAAATAGAAAATTTGTCAGTATTAAATTTTACAGGACACCCGAATAAAAATTCATATGTATAAAAAAATAATAATAATTCAATTTTAAACTTCCACATTGTTTAGCAGAATTATTGTAGTAAACGTTGTTATAAATTAAATATAATATCTAATCTACTATTTAATAAAAGTGGTGGAATTTTTTAATTGTGGGCCGTACTAGGTGCCAGCTTTTATTTGGCTAATTTTAATTAATAATGTATGGGTACATACGAAGTGAGTTAGAAGATTGACCGCCATTGATTGCTTCAGCATGAGACTAAACGAAAATGACGAAAAAATTGTATATTACATAGGCGTAACATTAATAGTCGAGTAACAACATTGGGAAATTATACATTATTTTTCAGTTGGGTGAAAAACTAGCAAAACAAAACTACATATATATTTATTTATTTATTTATTCATTCATTTTGTTTGATATTTACTGCGGCCTTTAAAATTATGGCAGCCAAACTTCTAACACGCCATACATGTCAGCAATATTTTGTTTCAAGTTATGTTTCTTGTACGTCTCCACCGAAGCAAATACCTTCAAAGTGAAATAAGAAAAACGAATATATCCACCCACGAAAACGTTCAAATTTGAATGGTACAGAGCAAAAGGAAATGTGTGTAAAAAAAATAAATCTTAGAGACCAGTAATATTTACTTTCACAGTTCGTACAACATGAACTTAATAACGAAAGATAAATGCCTTCTTTTATAAAGTAATAAAATACAGCTCATCAGTTTTACTTTAGTAATAAACAAAATTCCGTTCTGAAATTCTTAGGTGTGGACAAAGATTCCGGTAATGAAAATTTCCGCCGTATGCCTTATGATCTCTCTGATTTACGTGGACACATAAAAACTTTATTACGGCCATGATTTCTTCGCCTTTATGAATCAGCCCTTGATCTGAAATACCTTCGAATGTAACGACTTTAAGGAAATATAGGTATCTAAAATCTGAAATAGGTATACATATTAAGAAATTTTTAAGACTTCTATTTTTTCTTCTATTTCCAACCACCGACAAATTGCAAATTTTAAAAGAAATTAAGTACTTTTTCTATTTATCCCGTGTGACGATGATGAATTCTAGTTTATATCGTTATTAGCCCTAAAGTGAAAACAAATGGTTGAATGTTCATCACGTTTTTGCGACAGGGTAAAAGATACACGCCGCGCCGTACCATCGCCCACAACTGACTAATATTAAATGACCGTCCTGTAGAGATCCGATCGCCAAAGCCATAATTTACACACAAGTATAAATCTTTCTAAAAGTCAAATACATAAATTGAAGTATTCAATAAAATTCAATACATTGAATAGAATTGAGGTGGTGACATCACATCGCCATAATTCATAGAATGAATGCATTTTCATTTCTAAATCATTTCCAGGCTGTTGAGCGTTCTAAACCATTGTCGGTTTTTCTTTCAACTTATTATTTTATTTCCACAAATATATCAAACGTATATGCTGCACTTAAATAAAATTGAAAATATGATGGCATTTATCTCAAAGTGTTCGGTGGTAGAGGCATCCAGTCCAGTTTATTTACTCTTCTTTTAACTTAAACATCTTTTATTTATAGAGGAATTGAAAACTCGTTCTACTTACATATAATTCACGTTAGAAATTAAATAATCATCCATTTTATACTTGCTATTGCCAATAAATTCCTGTGAAATTGATTAATTACGGTCAGAGTTGAGGATGTTAATTTCCCGTTAGAAAACATATCAGATAAGGTTTCCTTTTCGATTTTTATAGCATAATTTATTTCAAAAACTTCAAGGCGACAACTATTAGTGGAAATAAAATAGAACATTAATTAATTACTGTTTAGTACCTACCCTTTGGAATTAATCTTCCCGGTACTAATGAACATTTATAAAAAGTAACCGATAAAATGTATGATAACTTCCTTGACACCATTAATGTAATCTTGTTTTCGAAATGATACCACAACTTGTTCATTTAATTGCTTAACATTAAGCTAACTTGGTAAGACAAAATTATTCATATCAAATTTGATTAACATTTATTTGTCCATTCTTTTGCAGGGTTGAATGAAAGAACTATGAATATTTTAAATATATTACTCGTAATTGTTTCCATTAAATCGTCTCGTCAGTGGTGTAGATCCACTGTGGGTTTTACGACCTGCGGAAATGAAAAATTGACGGAAAACAATCCGTTAAGGATAGCAGATTACAAACATCTGTTGGAATTTGAGGGTGGGTATTTGGAAGAAATCCCGACCGGGTCATTTAAATTGCTGCCAGAGGTGAATATTCTGCACATAAGCAACAACCACGTAAAAACCATCGAAAAAGGCGCTTTCGACGGCCTGCAGCAGTTGCAGAAACTAATTTTGTATAACAACGAGCTGAGAGTTGTAAATCAAGGGGTATTTAGAAACTGCAGAAAACTGAAGTCCTTGGATTTAGGTCAGAACGAAATAAGTGACGTGGAAACTAACGCATTTGCCGATCTACCGAGTTTGGAAGAACTTAATTTGGGATTTAATAATTTACTAACCGTTCCCACCGATGTAAATAAAATAAAATCTTTACTATCTCTAAAGCTCAACAATAATAAACTTAGTTCCTTGGACGCGAACGCTTTTAATAATTTAAATAAGTTGGAAGTTCTTGATTTAAGTGATAATCAAATTAGAGCCATACCGAACAGTGCCTTAGCGGGGTTGAGTAAGTTGAAAGAATTAAATCTGAAATCTAATTACATAAGCAACTTAAATGTGCAAAACGTTTTAAGTGACTTAAGGACTCTTGCTGTTGTAAAATTGTCCATAAACTCCTTTAATTGTCGGGATTTAAATTCGATTATAAACGCTTTTGGGAGGAAGGGGGTGGAAGTCGCCAAGGGGTTTTCTAAATCACAGGACCAAATCAACGGCATCGGGTGTAAAAGAATATAGAAATTTAAAATGATCTCCACTATTATGTACCTAGTAATAACATAATTATAATATATACGTATGTTCCATTGTTAGTCGTATTATTATTACGTAGACGTATTTTACTCAAAGCTAAATTTCTGTCAAGTCCCACTGATTTTTTACTTTATTATGACAATTTTGAGAGTACCTATATGATTGTTCGTAAAAGTTAGATATAATATTATCTACGAATAATTACAACTTAATATGTAGTGGTTTTAAGGCTTTTAATATTTTTGTGGCATCATAATTTTTAAATCAATTTTACTCCTTAAGGATGCTACATTTCCAAATTATACAAGAATCTATTTTCTTTTCTGTGCGTTACACACTTTTTCATCGCGATGGATCATTTTTCGCTAGATTAGATGATTATTTATTTAGTAAAACTCTTTTTCGATGTCTTAGATACTTTTTCGTTAGTAACGATAGATATGATTTAGTAATGCGAAACGATACGAAGGGGTAGGTACCCTGTATAAATCTCAAAAAATATTAGAAAGTGTAAGTGAAAATACGAAAAAAGTGTATACAAGGAATTTCTAGTAGAATTCCTCGGATGAAGGAAGACTTACTGTAAGTACCTAGTACCCTAAGATTTACTAAGGATTTGCAATAATTTTAGAAAAAAGGATGTACTTAGATGTACATACTTTTAACGAATCTGTTCATATTTCGATACTAATAACAATAACAGACAAATAGATAAGATGAAATGGAGGTAGGGAGGACTAATAACAATATGTCACAACTTTCATTCAAATTTTAAATGTACTAAATACTTATACCTACATTTCTGTTAAAGTATTTATTTAATAATCGGCATCATCTTTCAGTGTATTTTATCATTCAGTCATTACCTTTACACAAAGATTTGTTTCAGGTTTTCCTGCAGGGGCATATCTCGTGAGACATCGGGCGGATCTCTTCACGCAGCAGCATCAACGAAAACCCACCTCGTGTCGCCCGGAGGCACTTTATAATAATTATTGTCCGTTTATCTATTAGTTGCTGACGGGGTAATCCTTTGCGGTAAAGGTATTGTATATACGCCCTTGGGCAGGACATCTCACTTGTTATAATACCACGGCTAAGCCGGCGTCTTACATTTACTGACGTCATAACTCATGCTTAATGTCACCTCACCACCGGAAATGTTTCACGCCACCTTGGGTCTATCTCGTGCTTTGCTTTCCTCATTGTTTATATTGTCATTTATTATGCTGCGGTGTACACAGAAAGGCCATTTTTATCTATGGCCCTGTGGCGTCTCTCTGCAAACGAACAGACTCCTACACACAGAAAACTAATTACGGTTATGTCGAATAAGTTTCTATTAACAAAATTATTCGATCCAACAAAATACATACCAACTGATTATTTCTGGTGATTGATTTTCAAATATTTACATAAGTTTAGATAAATATTTAAAAAAATTAAAGGAAGATAATTTTTAAATACGATTAAATATTTCTTATCAATTTGGTGAAAAATTCTCAAAATACATATACGAAAAAGTGCCCAAAATTTAAATAAAAGTATCAAGTAGATGAAGATGGTTAGTTTTTCTTTACACACCGAAAACATTGTCATAAAAATTCACACAGTTCTTCCTAAAATTGTGACAGGAGCGATTTCGAGAAAATGTATAATTGTTGTAGAATAATTTCAGAATTGTAAAAATAATCTCAATGTAAATATTGAATTGTCACAAAATTTGTTCCTGTCACGATTTTAGGAATAGTTGCATGCATTTTTAAGTCAGTATTTTTTTATGTCTATAGGTACCTTGGAAAAAGAACGACAAATTGTTATAAACAATTTGTAGCTACCACGGTGGCACATTCAAATTTGTCCTATACCATGCGTCACTGGTTTAATAATTAAATTATTAGAACAGTGTCCGTTTTATTTTAGAATACATGTCGAAATAGAGCCAAAGTCATAATATAATCGCGTTATTAAAACCGCGCCGCCAAGTTAAATGGACCTGAATCAAAGAAAAGCTTCCGAATAAAGCTTTTGTAATAAACACCGCATTCAGCTGGCTTATATAAAGCGTTCTCATTCGGCCGAAATTTGAGCTGCGACTTGATGATTTCAACTCGGAAAACTTTATTAGCAATAAACTAATTATCAAGATTAAAAAGGCTCGTTAGTTATTCAAAAGACTTTAAGACAGGCACTGCGTCTAACAAGGAAACAATTATTCTGTAAAAAAAAATAACGTTGATATTATTTCAATTTTAAGGCAAATATAAACTATCCAACGAAATAAACCACCAAATGTATAATCTCAGGTTGAAGTAAATGTAATCTGCTTAATCGATTGACCAACGTTAGTTACCATCAACAAAATATTTACATCGGCAAATAGACCTCCCTAATGAAGTACGTAAACTATAGAATTACCTTGTTCATTTGTTGCTTAGCTGTGAAGTGTTGATTTCATTAAGTGCAAGGCAAACTAATATTGCAGACTGGTATAAATTACTAAATACACAACATTAACTATATTTATATGCTTAGCTTAACATCGCATTGCCTGCCTCTGTTTGTAAGCTCAAATAGAATGTTCTCCCACGAACACAATAAAACTACCTAAGGGCAGAAGGGTAGAAATTATAAACACGGTACAATATAATGCTTCTTAGCAGTTTAGTTTGAATGGATAATCTCGATATTACATCTATCCTCGCTACTTGATTAACAGTGACGGCTCGTGGGTCTAGAAATACTTAGGGAGGTTAATTTTAAACAGTTAACATATCTCGAATGATGTATACGGGATGTAACTTTAAGCGGGGGTCAGTTCTGGGGTCAATTTGTTTTAAAATAATTAAATTTGATTGATGTGAAATATTTTTTTTTAAATCGTTTCAAATTTTTAAAAACAATTGTGGCTACCGATATATTGGCTACCGATATATTGGTAGAAGCTACTTTTTGTCAGAAGAAAACATATTGCTTGGATTCATTTAATATTTTTCTAATACAAGATGTTAGTACATAATTTCTACAAGTGCAGGCTAGAGAGTTTGAAGAATTTGAGAAGGACCCGTACATGGGCCCATTTGTCGGCCTTTCAGTGCAGACATTTGCGAGCTAATAGTACTTAAATTGATTGAAACAGTCGATGAATAGAACAAGTATATGTATTTACGAATAGAATGAGACAAGTTCGAAATTGGTTTTGGACAGCGTAACGTCGCGATTCAACCGGAAATGACTGGTGGACGAAATCAATCGAACTTTGACGTCATATCCGAATATATACGGAATATAATAGGATCACAATACAGGAAATTAAAATATAGGTAGGTACATATATACTAACGGACGCTACGGCCAATATCAGTGATTTATTTGCAATATGTGTTAGGACAGCACGCTGTTGTGGATTTTGGATTAGTAGGATGTATGGCAATTGTCCCTAACCTGTTCACAAATTGATATCATCAGGGGTATATAAAAATAGCTATTTTCACCTTATTCTTACATACATAGTAGAGCCAACTGGAAAATTGAATTACCACCATCTTGAGGAGAGTGCCACAACAAATGAGTTGTCGCTTATTTCCAAAAAAAAAAACGAAATCAATAATTTATTAACTCACAATTCATAAATTTCCCACAAAAAAACAATAAAAATCTCTTGACAACCTAAAACGATATAAACTTTGTAAACAATATACCTATTACTAGTTTCGTCTAATTCTAGTATTCCCTACCAGGTAGCGTCGAGAATTGTTAGTTGAAAACATTTATCGAAATATTCCAAAGAATTCTGAAATTTCAATCTGTCGAAGCGGCGACTGTATTCACAAAACAATATTAAAGAAAAAGTTTCCATTGTCACCGATACATTGAAATGTCTGGAGGTGTATAATAGGTTGCATATTTAATGTGCATATCGTGTTCCATAAATATATCTTGGCGGCAAACGATGTAATCGGACGAAACCCGCTACAAATCTTAAATAAATTTCGCAATCTAATGGCCATAAACAAGTGAGACGAGAAACAGTATTTTAAAATTCAAATAGGGCTCTTCGTCTTGGTAAAGACCGACAAGGTGCTAAGATAAGGATGTAGAGTTTTGATTTACAGGCAATTGTGTTTTACGCTTCTTAAAATTCGACCCGCACCGAAAAGCAACAAATTATTTTAAATTATTTCTTTATGTCGTGTACAGAATCTCGCGCTGACACTACTTCTGTATCAGCACTAGACAACAATGTGACCGATTCAAAAATTCGTGTGTAGAAAGACATACATAAGAATATATAAGGGCGATTTTTGCAGTACAAACTAAAGTTTGTCAAAAAAATAAGGGACTAAGTCAATATAATAATGGATGTAATCGAAAATACGTTTTCGATTACATCCCATTTTTCGATTTCCCATTTGTGTACAACCAATTTCGTAGGTACAGAATAAGATAATTAAAGAATAAAACATATTTTACTTTTCCGATCTCCTGAAGTCCGGGATTACCTGGTGCCCTTGGTTGGTCATTACAGTAAAACGGAAATGGGGATTTTTATGCCATGATGATATAAGTATTTGACTTAAAAGTAAGGATTATGAGGTAATGGAAATGATTTTTCCCTGTTTCCTAGGTACATATTTTTTAAAGTCAGAAAAATTATATTTTTCCTCGACATTTTCATTAGAATAAAATTTCGATATGTCTCTCCCAAAAGATATAAATCATCATATTATCATCATATATCATCATCACCATATATTTTTTTAGAAGAGATCTGATGTAAAAAAATTGTGAAATTAGGAATTTCAATGAGGTTTTCTAAGTCAAATCCTACCAGAAAGGTCCCCGCTTACAGTTTCCTATTTGGTCCTTCCTTTTTTCTATAATGGCTACCAACCATTAGTTCTTAGTCGCCCTGTACATGTTTTTAATGTAAATTTTGCAATAAAAATTTTCAGAATAAATAAATTTTCGATAGTGATATTTCGTCGGGTTTAAAATGAAATAATACACATCTCTCCTCGCGTTATCGGATATTATTTTGTTATTAACTTTGCGTGAA